TCAGATTCTGCTTTGTCAACAAGAGTCTCAACTCTATAAACATCTTGTTTTATTCTAGCCACCATGAACTCAAGCTTCCTCACATTTTCAAAGAGAACCTGCAGATCATCTCTACAACTCACTAGAGAATTACATTTTTGTACACTTGATTCTGCACGTACCTATAAAATGGTTGGGTTAAATATTAAGGCATATCATAGGGAATACAAAAATAAATAAATATAACTATAGAACCTACCATATCAATTAAACTCGAATATTCATCCAAACGAGTAAGTGTTTCATCAATAGATTCTTCAATTGTTTTCACCTACAATACGCGAATGTCTATCAATAGATAAGAAAACAAATCAATTAGGAAAAATTATCACATTTTATTGATATTCTAACCCCATAAGACATGTCAACTTTCAAATAACCGGCATATTGGTCAATTAATAATTCTGCCTCTTCAGACATATCAATTTCTAAATTAAAAATCTTCTACAAACCACAATAAAACTAAACAAATAAGAACAATCATGTGCTGAGGTTTGTTTATAAATACAAAGAAGCCGGAAAGAACAAATCATGGAGAGTAAACAATATAAGTTAAGTTATAATTAAAAACGTGAATTTAAAAAAATAATTAGCATTATTTTCTTGTGCATCCGATAGTATAAAGTACTATAGCATCAAAAATACGTAAACATTAGTGTTACAGGTTATATATAAAGAAATAACGGATACTGCCGAATTCTGAAACGGCACTATATACACACGAGTTTAAACAATTAGTTAGATGATTCTGTTTTCCATAGCTAGTGAAATTTAAACGTATCTTAAAACTTTTTCACTTATAAGCCCCATAATAGTATTGTTTCGACAAGTAGTATTGAAGAACCCTTCAATCGTCAATAAGAGTTCAGTTTCTTCAAGTTCCGTTTTTTATTATGGATTTCGTTTCCCTCCTCTCCTCTTAGTACGATTCTCAGTCAGAACTCTTGTTCATCTTTACTTCTTCTTTTAGTAGATTTTGACATTTTATGACGAACTTATATAAATAAATAAATGTTAAGGGCTGACTTGACAATCTTCTTGGAAGCCTAAAATATTGTCGGCAGTCTAATAAATTGGTTCACCTGCACAAATATACATTTAGTTAAGAGTGATTTCACGTTGTCTATCTTATATTTGAAGTAACCAACAACTTGAATCAAATAAATAAAAAATGAAAAAACAAAAAGAAATCAATAATTTTCAGTGTCTCTTCATATGGACCTCATCGGAAAATAAGGGTCTATGGATGAAGATTTTTTTTTATCGTTCAGCACTTTGTTTTCTTGTCATTAAGTCATACCTTGGAAGTGGATTATGACCAAATAATAGTAGGAATCAACTGTGGTACATTTGTACCTAACATTAGTTAAGTAGGCCATATTTTGACTGCTGATAACGATATTGACAATCTGATTCATTGCTCGCCCATTCGGTAAAATTCATGTCCAGTATGTTTCCTTATCCGAATAAGTAGGTGAGGCTGCAAAATTTAAATATCGTTGCGTGCACTATGATGGCTTGGCTACGCTGACCAATAACATAGGGTTGCGCAACTTATTTTTATACTTTAGCATTTTTTTTAAGGTTTCGACAATAACCTTTATAACGTATTTAGGGTATTACTGAATGCTTGTGTCAAGGATCTCTTGTAGCAACCATCTTTATCTGCATCTAGGGGTATTACAGTAGACACATGTTAACTTAAGGATTGAGTAACTCTTAAATTTTCCTATTAGGCTTATAATGCACATTCTTAGTGAAACACCAATAAAATTTAATGCAAATTGTCGAATCCATAATGAAATGACGAATCCAGAATAGTTGTGACGTTCATGTAAGCTGTAATATATAGTATGCTCCATTTCCCCTTGATATTATATACTAAACGGCGGATTGTCTGGATAACAGGATGTACTGAACAAATTACATTGAAATCTATTTGCTACTTTCTCTTATATATGCCCAAACGTGTTTCCATTGATCCTTCTGTATGTCTAAACCGCACGTTCAACTTGGTACATATTTGGAGGAAAGTTACGGATTTGTTAACAGATATTTAAGTGAATATCAATTTTATATATTTCTATCTTCTACTTAAAAAAAATACTTCCGTTTTCGGATCAGTAAATTTATTATTTGACAGCCTATAGTCTGAAAACGACTCGTTCAATTTGACTCAAACTTGGAGGAAATTTGGAGAACATTATAGAAATTGCATAGGATGAATTTCATTGAATTCTACTTAATAATTAAAATTGAAATAACTAACTGTTGACAATATAATGGCTGTGAAATGTGGAAGGAATTGATCATATATAATGAGGGTTAGGTTAATACAATATTTTTATGAGGTTATAAAATGTAATAAGGTTTTTTTCAAAATGTTAATTTATAGTGTATTGTTTGGTCACTAGTATTTTGTATTTATACTGTATTTTATGGTAAGCATCACTAGCATGATGCTTACTCCCGTTATTTAGATTTCGTGTAATTTTCAATAAATTTAAATTAATTCTTACTCTAAGATTGTAAAAAACTGTGTTTATTTCTTTTGGTAGTTCAACCAGCTCGTCGAGGTCTCGATTTCATCCTCAAACATCGAAGATGTGAGAACTTCAATTCCATTTTTATATTCCAGCTTAGTTTTTTTCTGACTGAAGAAAAGTAATGGTCTCGTTAACGAGTCTGAACAAAAAATTATTCCTATGAAGGTAATGATTTACATGATGCCCGCAGGCTTCCAGGGTGGGGAAATGACGATGATATAACCATGTTTTATCGAAAAAAATATTTAAAAAGTATCTCTTAAAGTATTATTGCTCGTGTGATTAATATTAAAAGGGCTTGAGGAATCACTTAAATACGATTTCATACAGGTAGTTCGTTTCTTTCTTTTTTTCCAAAATAATTATCGTCATTTTTATGAAAAAAAAGCTTTCGGGCTGAAGCCCCCCTCCAAAATTAAATCCTGGATCCGCTAGTGCTATTAAGTGTATATAAATACTGTTAGTACAAAAGGTGGTATGTACAAATTTTTAATTTTATTCTATATTTGTCATCCATTAGCCCGATATCTATTCCACAGTTAGCCTAATGATTTTGTTATTTTCATGATGTTTGCACCATATTTGTCTACCCTTCCGCATATTATGTAAAGAGCAAATGGTTTTAAAAGTAATAGTTTTTTTTTCATCTTCTTTAATCCAATTAATTATATAGAGGCAGAACTACTTTATGAAGTGTGTATTTTCTTAAGCAATAGATTACCTAAAAGATTAACAATGTTAGTATAAATATAAAAGATTGTTCATTAAACGGTAATTAACGCCAAATAGAAATATAAAACATAGTTAATATTAATAAATATATTTATTCCTAAAAGTTAGAATGAATCGCACAATGACAAAAATATTTTAAATCATATATATATTCTTTATTGGATTTATGGATATATGAAGCTGTAGCGTATCAAACCAAGTTTATCCCACCAAACAGTCACCATCACCTTTTTTGACGTGTTGGGGGCTTTGGAAAATGTTCTCCTGCTTCTCCTTTGTCTAGCCACTGTCCAAAACGTCTACTGTTATCGTAAAGTATCCACTTTTTATCACAAGTAACAATTCTGTACAGAAAAGGGTCATTTTTGTTTCGGCAAAGAAGTGTAGCACTAACTTCATAACGCTGGTTTTTTTGGTGGTCTTTTAATGTTTGTGGAACCCAACTTTCAAGCTTTTTTACCTTTCCAATCGCCTTCAGGTAGTGATCGACTTCCATTCGATTTTCTAAGGTTACGTTTCCCTACAAGTTCCCAAACAGCTGTTCTGGGATTTTCTTCCACCAAAGCCCGTAGAACACCATCATCAAGAAACAAAATTTTGTCACGACCTTCTTTGTCTTCAAGGCTGAGCTCTCCCTCCCGAAATTGTTTGAACCGTTGAACTCTTCACTCAATAATGTTGTTCTCACCCCAGGCTTGATCAATGTTTCTGGCCGTCTGGTCCACATTCCGGGCGAGTTTAAACTCGTAAAACAAAATTACACAAAATCATGTGTTGACATGTTAGTGAAGACTGAATTATTTTTAAGCAGCGAAATGTTATAGAGTAAAAAACATTATCGTTTGGGAGAGGATTAATATGTGTTGAAATCCATTCAAATGAATATTCCAGTAAACATAAACAGTTAGTTATATAAAGTGGTATTTTAAAGAAAACTCAAAATTCTACATTATTTTCCGGACAAACCAATACATGCAATATATACATATAAATCTTGTTGCTTTTTCCTCACAGTGCCCAAAGGCATTTTAAGGAAAGGGGATGGAACTGGTTTGACAAGTATAGCATTAGGCCGTGTAAAAATCATTGAATGGAGAGAAAAATTAAATTAGCAAAACTAGTCATTTAAGTGAAAAAATTTTATTTTTATTGCGTGTGTACGCATATGTTTTAAACTTTTCCAACATTTGTGGTAAGGAGTATTTAAAAAATTATCATCCATTGTAAACTAAATCTTCAATTGCGGATGAAATAGATTCCTTTAAATAAAACACAGGTTTAAATTACTATGCATATTTATTCTTATATATTATAATCATTTCCCAAACACAAGTGAGACTTTGATTCTAGAAATTACGTAAAATAATATAATCTAAGAAATTAAGAAGGTAATTGGATCTAATGAATATTTGTGATGCCATGGCTGAAAAATTATGCCTCATATTTTGTAAGAACTTTTAATTAATTAAATAACCTTTAAGCAGAAAGAAACGTCGGCATATGTAAAAAATAAATATTATCATTTATTTTTGCCTTCCTTTTTGACTGAATACCCCACAACTATTCCTCTCTTCATTATCCACGACAGTCAACCTATTACCAATTATGAATTAAATAACCTCTTTGGTTACTAAAAATATAACAAAGAATTTTTATATTGCTACTTTCTAATAAGAATCAATTACCTAATAATAATTACTAACCATAATAATCTATTTTTGTAGAATGGCTTTTATTAGAACACTCAAAATATTTATTTTTGTTTTTTTCGAAAACCGTTAAGCAGCAGGTGGTCTCCAAATTCAAGTTCAAAAGGAGGCGGGGTTGTTTTCCCCGTGATATGTACAATATTTGTTTTTATTTATGAATCTTGTTTTAATTTAAAATGAATTAAAATATGTCTCAAAAACTAGAGGATTTTGATGTGATTTCTGTAGTAGGGACTGGTTCCTTTGGTACATGTTACAAAATTCGTCATAAAATCAGTAAACAGTTTTATGTTTGGAAAGCTATTGATTATGGAAAACTATCGGAAGAAAAAAAGAAAGTAACTATTGCTTTAATTTAATTCCTCTATTAGCAACTAGTTCATCATTCAAAGTAATTTTAAACATTTCAGCTGCTGGTATCTGAAGTAAATTTGTTAAGCCAATTACAACATCCCAACATTGTTGAATATTTCGATAGAATAGTTAGAAAAGAAACTTGTACTTTATATATCATTATGGAATGGTGCCAAGGTGGTGACTTGAGTGCTCTTATCCGGGCCTGTAGAATGTAAGAAAACTTTGATTCCTAAATTTTATATTTTATGTTACGTAGTCCATGCTTATTGTAATAATAGATTTAGCATCAATTTTGTTTGTTTATGATTTGATATCAGAAATTTATTTTAGTGAAAATAAGAAATTTGATGAACCTTTCATATGGAAAGCGCTCGTTCAAATAAGCAAAGCGCTGCAAGTCTGTCACACAAGACTTCCTCAGATGACATTGTTGCATAGGGATATCAAACCTGCCAACATATTCATTGACTCTAAAGGTAATTTTAAACTTGGTGATTTTGGCCTGGCTCAGAATGAAGATGAATGCAGTTTATCGGACAATATTGTTGGTACTCCATATTACATGAGTCCAGTAAGTGATAAAGAGTGACTTATCTACCTAAGTACTGTAAATTTTGAATTAGAATTTACATATTTGTTAAATACTACGAGTTACTTTCTAGTAAATATTAAAGTAATTCTGTTTATAGGAAAATAATTATGAAAAGTCTCTCATAATATTATTACTTAAGTAATTTATATTTATATTTAAGTACTAATACTATGGGTAGTTTTAAATATTTTTTGTTTGTTTGCAATTTTAATATAGTTAACAAGCCTTGAATTCTAATTGGAATCAAATATATTCTGGACTACTTATAATTTTTTATTTTTATAAGTAGTTAATCTAAATTATGATTCATTTATATGATGTATATTCTTTATAGGAAATAATAAGAGGAAAGAAATATGATAGAAAATCAGATATTTGGGCTTTAGGATGTTTAATTTATGAACTATGTTCCCTTGTTCCTCCATTCAGAGGAGTTACATTACAAGAACTGGTTTCAAACATTAAAGGAGGGAGGTAAGCACTTAAATTGGTGGCATTTCAAACAAATATGTTTTGTTGTACTTTTTCTTGTGTTTCATTGATGTTTTGTATTTTTTCTGTTTGAAATTAAAATAATATAGATTAATTCCTCAAAAAATAAATCTATACAATCTCTTAATTAGCTTAGTCAAGGAGACAGGCTCTTGTATGTCAGTTTTGTGTCTTTATAATATATTAGGAGGTGTAATTTCCTATTAGCTCGAATCACTTAATTTTTCCCCTCAGTAACTGTTTCCATTTTTTTTATTAGTGTTGGCTCTGAGCACGTCGACCCCTAATGGGTCCATTGTGCACTAACTGTTTTCATTACTTTCTCTTTTTTTGATTTATGTAATCAAATATGTTTGTTAAACCAATCCATTTGTTGCAAACCTCATCAATTTTCTATAGTAAGATAATTACAATTGAAACCCGGATTTTATGTTTTATTTCACATTCCTAAATTCTTGCCAGTGAGAGGAATTACTTTCATTCAAGTAAATGTGTTTTAGGTTAGGTTTCTTATAATGGTAACCTATTTTTTTTTTTTCTGTTAGAATTTCAGACCCTGTAGATCTTTTGCCGCCTTAACAAGTTTGCTCCATCTCTGCCTGCCTAGGACTGTTTTTTTCCATTTATCTACACAGCTCTATTGTATCTTTGTTTATTCTATCTATCCATCTGTTTTTTGGCCTTCCACGTGGTCTTTCGCTTTCTGTTGAGGCATCCATTGTTACATAGAGGCTTCCAGATGGATTGCTATGAGCTACATGCCCCACCCATCTTAACCTCCGTGCCTTGATATCATGGGATATTAATTGACCTGTTTCTGTAAACAGTTCTTTATTGGTCTTTCTTCTCAATGTGTTAGTACTCTGATCTCATATCGCTCCGGTTATCGTGCGCAGGATTTTTCTCTCAAACCTTTCAACACTTTTTTCTAGGGTGCTGGTTAGTGTCCAGTTTTCACATCCATATATTAGAACTTGGTTTATTATATAATACCTTTGAGAGGAAGAAGAAAGCTCTGTTTGCGCTAGTTATCCGCTGGTCTATTTCTGCCCGTTGGTCATTCATTGAAGTTATGTTGGAGCCGAGGTATTTGAATTGACTCTCGGGAATGATTTTCCTTCTACGCAGATCCTGTTATTGTAGTGGAATTTTCGGCTTACTATCATATATTTTGCTTTGTCTTCATTTACTTGTAGGCCGATCTGCTCTGAGTCCTCTCATCAGTGTTGTAGGGAGTTTCTAAAAGTCTTCCTGATTATTTCCAAGGATAGCTATATCATCTGCGTATCCAGGGATTTAATGATTCATTCGGACGTGCAACTGCAGTTAGTTTTAGAGCTAAACTGTGTTTAAAAGACTTGATAAGGTGTGGAAGCAGATATACCCTTGACTAAATAATACATCACACACTATCTAGTAGTTTCAGTAACAATTTATGACTCATGAGGTACTCGGTAGAGATCTCTGTAATGAGCCAGAGTATTGGTTTTGCGCAACTAAGCGATAAAAAGCTGAATCTAATTTATTGACTCTGCGCACCAGGGGCATGGTTTTTCCGGAGCCACTATATTGGCATTTCACGCTGGTGTTAAAGGGTTAGTAGTAAAAAAATTGAATTTTATTTGATTATATGTTTACATTGTATGTATGTATATTATGTTTGGATGTATATCACATAGTTAAAGGCTATTATTATGTTCATATACCATGGAGGTCAGACTTGTGCCTAGTATCTATCAGAATATGTTCTTTCTGGTAAACATCTAGTCAATTAGGGATTCACCGTGAACCTATGAGTAAATTTTGGGTGAAAAGAAAATACTTCCAGCATTCTATGATGACAAAAACTTCATCAACTGACATCCATAATCATTGCTTATTTCATGCAGGCTATGCTTCCTAATTGGATTGCAAGAACAACTTTCTTTTCCAATTTTAGTATTAAATCCTGGTGACTTTGACGATCTCATACATTCTCTTTGTTTTACTTTCTAGACTTATGTTGTTATGTTTGATTTGTATTACATACCTATGTTTGATACTACCATGTATTTATTAAGTATGTATTGTGTGATTAACTTGTTACTTTTATGGCTGCAGTGTTTATTCTCTGTTTAATTTTAACGCTTTGATTTCTATTAATTATATAAATAGATAAAAATTTATTTGTTTGACATAATATCTTTTAGTCCTTGTTGATGTAATTGATGCAGTAAAAAAAAAATTCAAAATTTAAATTGTACCTTATATTCCAAACTTATTGTATTCTAGATAAATTTATTTCTATTCACTACACCTGTTTCGACTTTAATTTATATCTTGATGGCAGGTCTGATCATAGTGAGCTCCATTTCCAACTTCCGATTATGGTTCTCATTATAAACCCTGATATTATCCACCACATTTTTTAAAATTATCATTGTCTTCTTTCCTTTATTCATCACATAGTATTTTTTCCCATTTAGTTTTTGAAATATATTTATATTAATTATAATCGAATGTAATATTTGTTTTTGTATGTGTAACCACTCTAAAAAATGTAGAACAGATTAAATACTTATTTCATATCGTTTAATTTCCTTTTTAAAATAAGTAGAATATTAATTTTGTAGCCGACTTAAAATTAGTTTAATGTTTGTTTAAGGTATCCTCCTATTCCAGAATTCTACTCTGAACACTTACACACAGTCGTAACTTTCATGTTAACTGTTAAGAGAGAATTTCGACCAACCATCGAAATGATAATACACCATCCATTGGTAGTTGCCCGTGTCACTTCAGACCCGCATTCAGTTAATAAGCCATCTCAGATAAAATATAGAGAAAGGTCAGAAGAAAAGATTCGAGAATTAAAAAAATTATCAAATGGTATTAGTAATATAAGTTTATCTCAAAGAAACCCTGAAGAAATAAGCGAAGCATTATTTAAAGAGAGGTGGTTGAACCGTTTAGAAAATTTAAGGGAAAGGGAATCTAAACTAAGAGAGAGAGAAGAAATATTGACTCTAAAAGAAGAATCACTAAATAATAAGGAAAAATACTTATCACTGCTTGAAAAAAGAACAAAAGAAAGAATGACGCAAGCCCAACTTTATTTAAATAGGAAAAAAGGGAAACTATCTGGTAGTATTGAAGATATGAGTGACATATCAGCTGATCCAGGAGATACTAGTATTCTTCCAACTAGTGCTAAATTTAACCCATCTGGACTTCCAAAACCTTGCTTTTTAAGATTGTCTTCTAGTAGAAAAACTGTTGCTTCAAAACATGTACACTTTGAAAGAAAGCCATTAAAGGAAAGTGGAGCAAATAGACCACATTCAGCTGGAGATAAATTTCTAAAACAATATGTCATTGATCCAAGGATTGATGAAATGGTTTGGTTAGAACAAAAAAGAAATAATTTTCAAACTAAACACATCGAATCTACAAATAAAGAAAATGTCGGTACATTCAAGAACACTAAAAAAACAAAGTGATTAAAGAAACAAGAGCAATGGTGATAAAAAGTACTATAGGGCTTGTAAAATTATTAAGGCTGTTGTTTTCAGTATTATTCTTTTAAAGATAGCTGAACTACTCTGTTTTAAATTATTTCAAAATGATTAATGATATTGTAATTTATGGTATTAACTAAGATACTAAGACGAACAAGTGCTGTTTGTCAGTAAAATATTTGTAAAAAAAAGTCTGAATAATACAACCAATTTTAAGTTTTGGAAGGTTCTTATACCTGTAAAAGCCAATATATATTACAGCTGCTAAATTTGGATTAATGTAATCATTAACATAAACAGCAGGGTAAATGTTTTTAGTTTGAATATAATTGTTGGGAAATAAAAGAATCTATATTTTTGATCATGTATATAGAATATACAATATTTGAAGCTTTATTACAGTTTCCTGATGTGTTATATTGAGTATTTTTTTGTTAAGACTCAGTTCCAATTATTGATTTGTTTAAATCTCTAATAAAATCTATTGTATACCTGTTAAAATGGCTCTTAAATTGTATTATAAGGTAGAATAGTTCTATATAAAAAGTTCAATCCAGTTTTCTGGTGTGTAATATGTTTCTTACTCCATAAGGAACTCTAAAAACATAATTGTTATATTTGTTTAACAATGTATTTATTAATTAGTTGTAGTGTAGATAATGATTGTTTGTTGTTTTTTTAAAACTTACATATTTATTTAAATAGAATTTTCTGTAAATGGTGCCATTGTTTTTATTGTTTTGTAAGATTAATTTTACTGACTATGAAAATGTTCATTGGATGATGGATGTATAGTTAAGAAAAAGACAAATTAACAAACAAATGTATTAATGAAGATTTATTTTTATTTACAATAATCAAATGCCCAATTATGGGCTCACATTGTACCTGACTAAATAAATATATGTATTTTTAAGCTGGTGAATTCATTTTACACTATCATGGCCATGAAGGTTTTTCACCAGGTCCTAACTCTCTACCATACAGGGCACTTTTATCTCTAAATCGAATCATTCTTGATGTTTCAAAATCATCAATATATTTTCCCAAAAAGAAACCGGTAACAGGGAACACCAGAAGCACATATTGTTTGTAGAGACCTAAAAGCATTCTAAAATAAAATAAAATAATTTTAAAAACATATCCAAATAATTTTTAATTATCTAAAGAAGCATAAATCATTAAGGTTTAGTTAATAACGAAACACAGGGATTAACTTTACATGATGGTAGGAATATTTATGAAGTGATGAAGAAAGAAATTCATTGCAACTGCTAATCTTAAAAATAATGAAAATTGAATCAGCTTCAAGTACTTCTTCTTTTGGATACTCTAATTTGTGTTGAGTCTAACATGTGCTATAATGCCAAACCTAGGGTAATAAAAGACTGGCACATGAAGATCACTTTCATATCAATCTCTAACTTAATCTTAATCGATCAGGAAAAAAGGCTTTACTACTGTAAGGAATGGCTCAATAGGCTCATTGCCCGGCAACGAGATAAGCTCAAGATTACAAGTTCAAATCTCAGTGCCCTGGTGAACGGATCAGGAAGGAAGGCCTTACTGTGAAACTATTTCCTCTAATAGCTTACTTGAGACAAGAGCTGACATAACTTTTAGAATATACTTTAGGTGTGACTTCAGTATATGAATTTACAATAGTTAAACTTTAGTATCTATGTACAATAAATAATTGTGCGTGTTAACAGGTAACCTGGATATCTTTTTTAAGAAAAATGTCAGTAGTTTTTCTACATTATCATACTTTTGTCTATCCCGTACCTTAGCAACATAGCATATGTTCCGTGAAACAGTATTACAAATATGCGTTTTCTTAGAAAATGAATTGTTATTGTTATTGAAAATTGTTCTTCAAGCTACATTTTCCCGGTCTTTACAGTGTGTAGTTTTTGTAAAATTGTCATCTGTAACTATGTCTTGTACGTGAGGTTCCATACATAATCCAGGTGTTAATGTTATATCTAGACACTTAAAATTATTTACATCAATATTACTACCTCCGAATTTCCATTTCTCCAATTTTGATAATTTACCTCCATTTCTAAATATCATGATTTGTGATTTTTACAGATTTATTTTTAGGTTCCATTTTGTAAAATATGTCTATTTGTTTTATTATAATTTCATAATTTTATTTAAAATAGGAAGGGGTCTGAGGAAAGTAGCACCAAATCATCCGCGAACCCTATCTTTATCTTTACGCCATTGATTAGTATTCCTCCATCTAATGATTCATCTATATCATTTATGAAAAGAGAAAAAAGTAAGGTAATTATAATAATCCACCCTGCTTTAAACCTATATTCATTTTAAAGCCCACAGATATACCTTCACCTTCCTTTCCCCACACAAAACTCAAAGAGATATGTAAATAAGACACTAGTTCAGCCCTGCGGTTTCACCACCAGTAAATTTTCACAATATGAGTCAGTTTCTTTTATATCAATACATGACCTAGGGCATATGATTACCAGAATAACAACCAAAATTTATATAAAAAAACATAAGATTCAATCACTAAAAAATAAAATGAATAATTGATATCAATGGCTTTGTACAAATTATTTTATGAACCGAGTATGTTTTAACTATTTAGAGAAATCTTACACAGCTTCACAATATTCATGGAAATTGTACCAGAATGATTGAAGTTTATAATTACTGTCCCACAGAAATCAGTAAATTTTAATATTGCTAAACCTTTCAGGAACCATGCAGATTATCTAATTTAAATTTGATAAAGATAGGTTCCGTAGCTTTCACTGCCGGTTACAAATTAAATGAAAAGTAGTTTTATTTTGTTGTACTGTCAATGCTCCTATTTAATTATATCTTTCTTCATATTTATGCCATGTCCAATATTTTGTTGTTTCGGTAGCATTTTTCAAAACATTCAAATGCAATTTCAACAACAATGTAAAATTAGGATTAAACATTACTAAGTATCCTTAAAAACCCTCTAAAAACATAGAAAATATTTTTAACTTTCCTTCTACTCTTCAGATCAAGGATTTCAATAACAACTATCACAGGACAACACTGACGATTTTCCAAAAAACATACAGAAATCGTTCCAGTAGTTTTTTTAGTTAGGACTTAAAAATGAAAAACAGGATATCCTTTTTAATAATAGTATAGATATATTGAAAATGAAAAAACATCTTTATTATTCTGTGACAAAGTAGAGCCATACCTATTAGAACAAATTAAATGTGCATCATATAATGGCAAAAAAAAAAAAAATAGTGTAGCCATATTGTTTTTATATTTACTATAAATATAATCCATTAATATGACCAAAATTAAATAAAAATATAATATAGAAGAAAAACAAAACAACGGGGCAGTTTAATATTTGAGAGTTAGTATAGTTAAGAGAGAAGTTGAGATGTATGGTTTCCAAGAAAGGGTTTGGTCAAAGGTGATATCAAGGTTTTTGCTAAACGTATGGAATGGCATAGGTAGGCTATGATGTCCAAGGATGGATTTAAGGAGAGATGGGGACTCAAATCATGATGTTTTCAGTCTTATCTTGATTTACTGAGATTGGCCCCAGCGCTTATGTTGTTGATGTCTCCCACCAGTTTTAAGATGACAATAGAGAAATCAGTGGGATTAAAGAAGAAAGGAATTTGAAAATTCCTGGCATGTAGATGATTCTTAGAATGTTGGGAATGAAATTTAATGTTATTAAAAATTGAATTTGAATCTGGCAATGGATTTCTGTGGCTCCCGTAGTAGGCATAATTTCTTTCTTATAAACCAAATAATTTCAAGCAATAAAATTCTAAGTTAAGTTGAATTGGTAAATTTGTTACATCAAAGATATAATTTTTTTAATTTAGTCTTCCAAAGATATATAAGTGACTTATAAACAATTCCAGTTTAAATTTACTAAAAACCAATCCAAATTACTGCTCCATGACACCTCTATCATGGTTTCATATATCCTCGAACCAGAGCACTTTTGAATATCTTCTCATAGTTGCCACATTTGAAAGCAATGGTTTGGGAATGACAGGAAAGGCTGATATTGCCAATAAGCACTTTCATAATTTTCATTCAAACTTGCTCCTAAAATCAGTGACATCATTTTGTATGTTATAAGCTTTCTCAAAGGTGTTTACTGTCAAAAACTAATAAATTTGGATGAAGCTATCATGAAAAACTGCCAGAATTAGTAAATCAACATTGTGCTCAACCATATCACAAATCTTAATACATATTTTGTAACTGATGATAATGGTGAAAAATAAATTTATATTACTCAATATTACAATAATTTCTTTGTTATGCTTTTGTTTAATTCATCTAGTTGTTTATTTGTTGGCCAATAATTTTTTCACAACTTACTATACTAGCCTTAACTTATCTAATATTTTCCTGTATTTTCTCGCCGTCCAGTATTATCTTATACCAATCTTCATAATATGCTACAGATCATAATATTCCACATATATTCTCATACCGTTACATACAATACTTATATACTTTAATTTATTTTACAAAATAATTTTTATCCACTTCTTTGTAGTTTTTTTCTAATTCTTACTATCATAAAGTTCTTATTTTGTCTTTGCTTAACCATGGATGCCAAAACATTCAGCGCAAAGAAAATAAAACAATCTTTGTGTACTTCACTGACTGAAACCACTAATCAACTTATCTTACAAAAATATAAATGATTATAAATTGGGGATTCAATAATAACAGAAGATACAATAATAATAACATACAACCCTCTACTAGAAAAAAAGGTGAGGGATAAACCATCAATAGCAAACCAAACTAAATTAAACGTCTATCACTAAACAGAAAAGCAACTCGTTTTAAGTTAGTATTCAATATCTACCTGTTCCAGGACTTTGGCCTTGATTATAGATTATAATAACACAACAATCAAACTAAAATTAAAATAGATAGCCACCAAGAATAGCTAATTTAAAGTCATTATAACCTTTATACCATCATTAATGACTGAATACATCAATTAATAAACCAGGAGTTTTAATCTATGAATGTAAGAAGTAACAATTTTCAGCTGTTTTAAAATAAATTGGAAATGATAAATAACACAAGATAATGTAAGTATACCTTCTAATGTAAAAATTAAATAATATACCCTTACTTAAAGGATTTAGCTAAATTCGCTTTTCTTTTTTAAAGCTTCTTGGATAGATTTCCAATTCTGAGTATGGCTGTAATCTGCGTAAATAGAACTAAATGCAAGCGCTGGAAAAAGTATACTTAAGCCGTATTTCTTCAAGAAACTTTTCACTACTGATAGCTCATTTGCCATATATATAAATTTATATCTCAACTCCTAAAAAATATGGTAGTATTTCCAAACAAGTACTTGACAAAATCAACGTTATAAACTTCACAAAATCAGTAAAATAAATGGATTCTAAATATACTGACCTAAAGTATTCGAGTTAAATAAAATATAGATAAATTTCACGAAGTAAAATAGTACTGATAAGGCAAAGAGATTCTTCGACGGGAGAAAAAGGAACTACGATTTTGATTCCAAGAAGAAAAAGTGTATACTTTTTGAGTTATTCGGAATTTAATTTTACCATCCCTT